GACGAGATGGCAAAAAGTGTCATAAGTGTCTTTTATCACCAGCAGCTCAGCTTTTATGTTTTTTTTTCTCCCATAAATCCTATCATATACCATAAACCCAGGTCAAAAGACAGGTAAGTAGGATGACATGAAAAAATAGATACCGCCCAAGCCTAATATCACATTTGCCTGAAATGCCCATGCCTGAAATTGCATTGTTGTATTATAGCTTGTGTGTTAGCTTGCATTAGTCTGATAACTCATTTCTCAGATCTAGACTCAAAGAATAACACAGACATGAATTTATCTCACTTAACCCTGCTGGGCCTGGTCCCAATCCAGACAAATTAAAAGTCTTCCACTTTTCTCCTTGCCTATTGCCCACAAGGGAAATCCACATTGCTGTATGAAATCTAATTTGTAAGCCACGATGTGTAATGCTTATATCACACATTTCTATAGCACTCTGACTAAACCTGTGCTGGCAGCTGGAAGGTATTCCCTTGAATCTAGGGTCTGAAAATACTACAAAAATCTCAGCACCAAAAAATTGATCATAAAGCTGATGTAATTTTATATGGCCAAAAAATTAAAAAGACTCAGATAATTTTGTTTAATTTCTGTTTTATGGGCTGATAAGACTGTCCACTGTCAACTCAAAATAGTCAAATGACAATTCTGAATGATCAAATTTCTTAAACTCAAACTTCAGAAACCAACATAGTCCTAAAACGCTGGACATGTCTCACAGTGAAGCCTGCAGACAAGGTAGGAGAGACCTTCCTAGCACTGGTATATGAAGGCTTTGCTTCAGTGCTCACTCAAGCACAAACGAGACGGCCTGAGATATGTCATGGCTTCCTGACATAAGCAATGCCACATATTGAAATCTAAATTTACAAATTTTAACACTAAAATGTACACTTCGATACATTTCATTACAAACTCTGGTGCTGCAGCACCCTGCCACTCGTGGCTGTTTCTGCCATTTTTCAAACTAATGTGTGAAGGATTGTGGGTGACTGAAGGTCTCAAAGGATACACCGGCTGCATCCTTCAATTTCTCACAAATGAAGGACACATTTCTAGGCTGCATTTAGAAGATCCTGCAAAATGGGACGGCTTTCAGCAACGTAAGAGCTGAGAAATGCAGGCTTCCCCGGCAGCATCCTTACCTCTGAGAGACAACTACTTTGGAGGTGGAGCTTCCCAGACTTAGCAATTATATTGGTCTGTGTGATCTAGCTCATTTTTGATCAGTTCCCTCCACACAAATTTTAGACTCAATGATTCACATAAAACACAAGGATAACTAGAGCTGGCTAGAACAGCATTTTCCAAGCTTCAAAGGCTGCGGTGTTCAGAACACTCGGAGACAAGGTGACGTGGATGCCTGCCATGAATTTATGACTACATCCATCTAAACCTGCTGTAAATTATTTATTTTAATATTTTACACCAGTTGTGCATCATGTGACACCACAGTGGTAAAGCACGTGAAGCACAAAAATACACAGCAGCATGCTAGAAATTTCTAGGCAGACACAGTAAAGGAGTGCAGTTTTTTTGCTATAACATACAATCTAGGCTAATAAACAATCCAACAAATGTAGTTTTAACTCTTTGACAAGGTGATAATCCCTTGAGTAGGTTAATGCATCTTTCCCTCTTCACACATCTCATGGTGAGGAAGTTAGCAACAGCTCCAGCAGCAAGTTTTTATTGCTGACCTCTTTAAAGAGCTATATAACATTTATTTAAGCAATAAATGGGCAATACATTCGTAATACATTAAAACGCAAGACAAACAGCAACCGCTTTGAACTCGCGGCGCGTTTGTGTCTCGTTTGGTCTGGTCTGAAATGACAAGCGTTGCAGAGTGGTTCCGAATTACTACGCGTGCCGTGTCACATCTGGTGTGAAATGGGCTTAACGGCCTTTACTGATTAAATGTACTGTCGTTAAGTCTAGCTTCTGAATCCTAAATAGAGAAGCTAACGCCAGCACAAACAAATACTCAAGTATTCAAATTATGTTATTCTCATGCTGATGTTTAGGTTTGTATGTACACGTGTACATTTTGGTGTTAAACTTTGCCATTTCAGCCTACGATGCAGTTGTTATCTTAGCAGTCTCTAAAGAAGATAACTTCTGTGAATTATCAACAGCACCACTTTCTCCAGTTAAAGTGAAATATTTTCTCTGAATACACTGACCAAAGTGCTAATGCGACTTCAACAACAAACTGTAAAAGGGTGAAAGCAGCACAGAAAAAAGAGCTGAGGCATAATCCATTCAGGCACATATTAGAATATTACACAACTTGATGCAATACGATTAAGAGATTTGCCCACTTGTGACAACAATCCCTCTCTTGTTCCATCAGTCCTTTTATCTTAATACTCTCTTTTAGGAGGTGTCATGGTATTGGTTTACGACAGTATGATAAGAGGGACAGAAATAATGCTGTCCAAGGGTCAGTCTAATGAAATCATGCTTCAAAAAGATTTACAATTACATAAAAGTAAAAAAAATATGTAATCTTTTAATTATAAATTGTTGCCAAAAATTCGTTTAACATACCCAAACATCACAAGAGGAGACTACAAGGACTGATACTGGACGTACCTTTCATTCTGTGCTGTAATTTTATGGTCATGGAAAAACTTACCATGCTATTAAGTCTAATTTATACTTTGGGTGAAAAGCAATAGACGACAAGTGTCGTCCGGCACCCCGTAGTTTGCATACACTTGAAGTACGTATGCTTTGGCGACAGGTCCTAGTGTCTCTATGGTAACAAAAAACTGCTGGTGCATTTCTTGAAAACATGGCAGCCCCATTATATTGAGAGGTAATAATGCATGCTTTGGAGAATTCGGCCTTATTCAGCTTTAACCCTGACAATGAAAGTGCTCAAGGTTGAAGTTAATTTAGCTGTTTTTATAGGTCAGAAAACCACTGCAAATACTAAATCAGCTATTCTACTACATACTTACATGGTGATGCAACACTTAACCTAATTAAGGCTTTACAAAACATTTTGTAACATTGCATTTCATATGTTGCAAACTGGACTGAAACACTGCCACTGTTTAGAAAAGTGAACCTAATCAATTTTATTTCAAGGACTGTTTCATTTTGAGATGATCTTTAATGGTATTTTCTAAAATCAGATGACAATGAAGCAAAGATCATTTTGTAGTAGGTAATCTATTTTCATGGTAGCACATTAATCTTGTTCTGTCAATTAGATTATGCACAGTTTCACAGTCTTAATAAGCTTACATCAATTCTCCTTATTTTACAGTTTCTCTCTGTTTTCTTGTGTCAAGCTATCCATATGAAATCATCTCTTTCTATCCTGGATACATCTCCGCAGAACGTGTCTGGGGATTCTGACAGCAGTGGATGCCTTAAGCAATTACAGAACTTTTGGTTCTGTGCTCCCAGTAAACAAGGAGAATATAGACATGGGTAGAAACACATGGTGTGTAATTACAGAAGAATCCACTCCAGGCCACCTTCTATGAATACTAGTAACTTTACTGCACAACAGTACTGGAAACAAACCAGTCAATCCGATTGATTGTTATACCACAAAGGCTGATGGCAGGATGCCCGCCACATTCATTTAATTGGCTATTTAGTTTCGTCTTTTATTTTCAGCAAGTGGGTTAGAGTTATCCCACCTAAGAGGCTTTTACTTATGAGCGAAAGAAACCACTACACACCACTACATGGAAAACTGTTTTTTGCTACATTGTTCATTTGCTAAGAAGTGCAGTCATAATCAAGAGTGACAAACAAAATGGCTTTAATTGTCGGCTTCTGCGAATGCAGTTCAGCAGAGATCACTACTGTGATAATCTATTATAGAGACCAACTGGTTTCAACTTTGACCAAACTACAGCAGTATTAAAATCTCTTTTCTTTCAATCTGTAAGCCCATGAGGGGAATCCTTGCATGACATACCCATGGGAAGTGCCTAGTAGGGGTGCAACGACTTCAGTCCAGTATCAAAAACAAAAAAATGAATGTTCAAAAAAGTGTAAAACTATCACAGGCTCATCTGAGGGTCTTGTTTGCCATTTTTCACGGAAATCACAAAACAGGAAAAAAGAACACCTAGTTATGGTCAATCCGTAATTCCAGACTCATCGTAGACTTAACACATTTAAATTGCCTTTTGTTCGGTTTCGGGGATTGAAAATAAACACACCATATAAGGTTTATATGAGGCAGTTCTGTGTAATAACTCGACAGATTTGAAGTAGCATCAATACATTCAATCTGGACAAAATATATATTGCTTCACCCAGGGCCAACAGAGCAGTGTGATTGGTATGCATCATTAGTCTAATAGATTTACAGCTCTATGCTGGTTTTCAGTAAAGTTATTCAGGTTCCTCTAACGCTTCGTCTGATTGTAATGTTGGTTTTAGTGTGAGCAGTTCACACGCAGTGAAACCCGAGCACACTGAACTGAGAGCCGTGCAACATGAAAGAGAATCAGGGTTCCTTTGATGCAGGCCTGTGCGCATCTCCTCATTGTAAAAAAAATCGCGTTAGCATTCTCAATGACCAACTCGCATCCATTCATTCACACAGCCGCTCATACAACCACCACCAATCCACTGCCAGACCTGAGACATCACAGCCCGAACTCACAATAAACGTACGTCACCACAGACGCACAATTTATTAACGGGTTAAAGTGGACAAAACGCATCTGGTGGGAGATTTACATCAGATAGAGGGGGCTGCACCCCCTCCATGCTGTCAATCATACGGATGATTACCATGGTAACGGTGCACGGCAACCAGCTCTACTCTTATTCGACTCTGCTTTGACAGAAGACCCCGTTTAATCACCATACTGATCACAAAATACACCCGCACTGTTTGAGCATAAGTGTCAAACGCAAAAGATCTTAAGCAGGTTACTGTGATGGAGCTGTGAACTGATTCACCGACTTAAGTCTAACGTTCATCAACAGACGAGGTTAATGTTACTTACGCTCGAAGTCCGAGTCGTCCTCGTCGTCGTCTTCGTCTCCGTTAGATTCCGTTTGCATCGGCTCGCCATCAAACATCACCCCCTTGCCGCCGGATTTGGCAGTGGCCCCAGACCCATCTTGGCTCCTCGTATCCCTCAGACGAGTGAAATACTGCACGGCAAACTCCACCAGGTCCGGGGGCCTTTGGCGTAGCACCTCCACGGTGTAGCCTTGCAGCAACTCGGTCAGACCAACTGGTATCTCAATACTCATGGCTGTACGGCGGTGATATCCTGATTTCTAACTATATGTATATATATATATATAGATATATATATTTATAATTTCTGGACTGAAACGTACAAAAATATAAATAAACTTCTCCTTATCAGTCCATGCAGTGGACGGTTTGCAGTACTGAAAACGCTTGCTGCCAAGGGAGCAAGCCACCGCTGTACTTAGTGGTTGCAATTAATTAGCTAGGTGGCAATCTAACACGGACTGGAACGGCTGAAAACATACGTCCCAATCCCCTGGGAGGAATTAGCAGGAGTGCCAAGAAATACAAAGAAGCACAACTTTCACCAAATTCAATGAAAATCCCAACTCGCTAATGGAGAAACGTTTGCCTAGTTCTAATTAACTTGCATGCCCGTTGCTCGGCTCGAGTTTCGATATGTCCAAGTCAGTGTGACAATCATATAGCTTTAGCCACAAAAAGTTATTAGACGATGTCTAGTGCGTAAACTTGTCAAACAAATGAAGCAGATGAAATACCTCAATGGTTTCACCTTCCTACGGGTGGTTTAGCCTCACGGAGTGTGGATTAGCTTTACAGCTAAACAGGTTAGCTTTTATAAGGCCAATGGATTACCTATCCGAGCACGTTAAGAAATAATGTTTTAGTATCAAGTACCCAATGTACAGTCGTAAACTGGTGTGTAAGAGTATAAAACAGCTCTACGCCTATGTAATCTTTGTAGGTGCCCTGTGACACCTTTGACAAGCTGCTGAGCTTTTCGCTGATGTCAAGAGAACTAACGCTAGCAAGAGACTGTTAGCTGGCTAACTCCAGGCAGCTGGTCACGTCTGTGACTTTATATCTCAGTTTGGCAGATCCTCTGACGCTTGTTTTGCTCGCTCCGTCGTCGTTTGCCCTCTTGACGTTCGTTCACTTTGTTAGGGTATGAACGAAAGCTGTTCTTGAAGAACTGATAGCTGAATGGTAGGTAGTTTGACGATACGAAAGTTACAAGACGCTCACCAGAGGTAGCTGTGTTGTAAGACTGCCTTGCCCAAGACGCCACCAGGCTTAGCCGCTGCTAGCTACCAGGCTAAGTGCTGTAGCTAGCTGCAGTTAGCCAGCCAGCCAGCCAGAGAGAGAGAGATAAGTGGGGAGGGGTGGGGACAGGGAGGCAGATTAAGCTCGCTTGTCCTCAGAAGCAGGCCAGTTTTACTTCAGTCCAATAAATCAACAGGCCCGGCGTGAAACCCACCCATAAACGACAGCTAGCTAAGCTAACTAGCGACGCACAACAGGTCGGCTAGCCAGCAACAATCTCCCCCTAGCCAACCAGCGAGCTACCAGCTAGCCAACTAGCAGAACCCGGTGAAATCCCCCAAAACGAAAAACTGCCAAAAACTTTCTCCTCCGTATTAGTTCTCCTTTTCCTTCTTTCAGCGGTGCGGTCCGATTTGGATACGTTTGGGCGTGATATAATGAAGTTCCCCCAAAATATATATTTTTTTTAAAAAAAAAAGCCTTTTTTCGAATCGCCCGTTTCTGCCTCACGTCGAGGCGCGCTCTCCCCTTCTACTCCACGAGCCGCGCTTTGGGGGCGTGGTCACATACTTACAGCGCGGACGACTTTGACTGACGTCCAAAATCGACCAATTACGTCGCAGCCAGCCGAGAAGGGCGTGTCCGTGAGAATTTAGAAGCGGGTGATAAAATGACAGCTTGTGCGGCGCCGTATGACCCAACAGGCTGAAACGTCAGCGTTACATTCCAGCCAGCGTCGTAGCAGAGCGCTGAAAACCACACCTGGAGAGCAGAGCAGGTGCCTCTCTGCTGGAAAACTGAACAGGAGAGAGAACGAGCGGTTTTAATAAGAGTTTAACAGGTCGTAAGAAGCAAGGAGGTTATGTGAACGTGACATGTACATTGCATTGGCTACATACTGCGAACTACATAATACTTACATAATTACTCTCTTCAGATTGATGCGTTGATTAATAGGTCGATTATCTGGGGTAGGGTGTCCGTCACTATCCTTTTCTCGGTATACCTAGAAGGGCTCTAATTTAAGGCTATCCACGTAACACGCTACGCCACTGGGGTTGGATTTCCCTATTGCGTGTCACCGGTGGGGCAAATATAGAGCAGCCTTTCTAATCTCGGGCCTCCTTACCTGGCGGGCACAGGTAAAGCCTCAGCCACGGAGGACCTACCCGCAAATCCTCAGCTTGCTTCTGCTTCCCCCCAAAAGGTTACAGGTGCCCCCTGGCGGGTGAAAATAACTAACGTGAGGTATAAACTACAATGTTGACCTAACTACTGGTTAGGCCGCCTTTATTCGTGTTAGAACTAACACACGAGAAGAGCGAATATGCAAAAGGGCCAAGGGCATAGTAATGAACTATTCTATTCTATTCTATTCTATCTGTTTGGCTAAATCTAGTACAGCAATGTACAGGATAGACCAAAGGACAAATCTGGATTGGGCCTCCAAAAGCCCAAAGGGATCCACAGCCCGTCAGAATTAGGGCAGGCCATCACTCAGAGAGAAACTGGAGCAGTCAGGTACCGAGGGAAGCTCTAGATAATCACTTGAAATGTACCTGGAAGTAACAAAGCTACGAAAGCTTAAAGGGCCAATATCATGGAAACTGAATTTTCCTCAGCTTTTATTTTTAAAGCGAAACGCAATCAGTCTCCAACCCATATAGTCTGTATATGGATAGTAAGCGACAAAACAGCCCACTTTTAATTCATTGTTTTTGTGCTGTCACAAAAACCAACACATGTACATTCATTTTCTTATTCAGCCTACAGAAGTCTAGCCCCACCCATTCATGTTAAAGTGTTTTCAGCCTGGACTGCTTTTTGAATGAGGCACAGCACAGCCAATCAATCTTTTGAATCCTATGGGATAAAGAGAGGACGCGTAAAAATGAATTACGACCGTTTTGCTATATAAACCACACAAATGGCACAAGTATATAGTAAAACGCTGATAAAGTGTAGGATATGGGCCTTTACAAGATTCATTAACTCGATGCCATCTTGGAAGCTCTGCACAAGGCTGTGTTCCAAAAGTACATTTACATCCACAATCTACTCAAAAAGCAGATCATCCGCGTGGATCCGTAAGCTTCCTTACCTGACGGCATATTTTTTACATTCAAATCTATAGGCGTGAGTAAAAGCTGGGAGTGCCATTTGGATGATCGTGACACCTCAGCGAGGGGGCGACTCGCTTTCATTTTTGCCCTTTTTGCCAGTGTGCGTGGGCGAGGATTACCCACACTACAGTGTAGTAAGGAGGCGCCATCTACTGTTCATTCTGAGAAGCTGCAAGTGACGCCTAAATATGCAACCCACTGCAAACACAGTGACTAAGTTCAGTTGTTTCAATTGTGTACGTAATCTCCACAGGAATAAGACATGTTATTGCTGAAGTGAGCAAAGTCAAAACAAAACTACTGTGTTTATGTGCTGTATTTTATTTATGATGTACGCATGTGAAAACATTAATAGCATTACTTTTTGTGTAGACTATGGCAGTGTTTCTCACCTGTGTGGTCCAGCTGCACTGCAGACTTTTGTGTTTTCATGCATTACATGACACCAACGTTTTATTCTATTCTCTTCTATTGAATTCATCTCAACAACTTTGCAAAACATCATTCTCTAATGATAGGATGCAGATAAAACATGAAATTGTGCAATGCAGGTGAACTGTGCTTTTTATTATTTTAAGCATATGTTACTAACCAAGACAGCAACATATGTGCTATATAAATACATATACACATGGATTCTGCTACATAATTAAAGGGCATTTTATAGGTCTTTCACAAATCCTGCATAATTCGATCATTAAGATGTAAGCAAAGTAATTCAGAGTGGTTCAATGTGAACCATAATAACTTGGAAACAGGGGTCGCGATGTTTACTGCCCAAAAATAGCAATTTTATTTGCTATCTAATGATCAGTGATTCCACACGTCTTCTGAGTTTTTATAGGGAACGTTGATAATAAAATAGTAGCAGTTATTTAACTAGTAGTTAATAGTAAAATAGTGGATGATCTAAAAAAAAAATGTTTTCTTCAGGTGCTGTTTTGCCTTACAGCACCCTGCATGTACCTCTCCACCTTGCAAATATAAAAAAATACATTATAAAAATGACTTACACAAACATATTCATCACCATGGAATGTAATAACTTTTTCTGAGAGTTTTTAGAGGCGTTTCTCGTTCCTATTGCCACCACTGTGAATAATTCTGACTCTGTGAGTTTCACTGAAATGGCGCATTTCACATCAAAACACTCTGAATGACTTACATCTTACAACTCATTGACTGAAATTTGTACAAATTTTGAAAAATCAGGGGGATTCCCCATTGGCCCTGTGCACAGGAATGACGACTAAAACACTGTAATCTTGTAACAGTCTTCATTTATTGATCAACTGGCCATAGGAAGTCGAAATTAAACAGTTCAATCACAACATTGTTTTTCAGAATTATATTACAGTATATTAGTAGTAATTTTTAAAAACTTTTTACATGCATATACAAACAGTAGTCAAGAAAACATTTCTGCATCTGGCCTCATGAACTCAGGCTTTTAAATGTGTCATGAAGTCTGAAGGAGTTCACATTAGATTGTGCAGTACAACTGCTAAATAGTGCTGTGTGAGTGGACTTCAAAAGACCGGTCATGAACTTTTGACAGCTGGTCATTAATGGTGGTTAGCCATACTGCCCATGGGCTTTAGAGTGATGTAGTCATGTCAGTACTTGTAGAAGTAACTTTACTTCTACTTCTTTTATACTGAAGCAGAATACAGAAATAGTACATACCCGCATCAGATGGCAAGTGGGCTGGCCAGCTGAGATTAAGAGTAGTCTACATTTAAATGAACGATTAGAAGAAAAAACAATTTTACACAATTTTATACTTGCCCCAGATGTAGTCAATCATCGATATTACGAGTCCAGTTTCTTTTATATTTTTAAACCTGAGATACGAGGCTAGCGGCACAACACACATTGTCTAAAATGTCTAATTTATGCTACCTCTTAAACTACATTGACAAGTCTGTGTGACCTTATTGAAGACTTGGTTGCAGTTCGATTGGGCTGAGAGGCGTTTTTTTTACAAAAAAGGTTTGGGTGACTTGACTTGTAGTGTTTGTTAGCAACATTTGCCTCATAGCTACTGTACTAAACTAAAGAAGCAAAATTTGGACACCAAAAGTGTTTTGGCTAATCAACTACATCTTGAGTAAGTGGGAAATTGTATATCAATCCATTCCTCCATTTCTTTAACATTAAACACAGCAAAAGAGCTTAAAAATATAAAGAACAATGCTGTCATATAAGGAGTAATGGACTCCAACTCAACCACTGACAGTACAGAGATTCACTTCTTGGGGCTACACTCTTAAAAATAAAGGTTCCTAAATGGTTCTTGGCTTGGACGTCTGGTTCTAAGAAAAAACATTAGCTGGTGTACAGCCTTTACATTCTGTGGTGATTCTTTAAACTTTAAAAAGGTTCTTCAACTCACTTACACAAGAGTTGAAGAACCATCCATTGAAACGTTATATAGGGAACCAAAAGTGGTTCTTTTATATCATCGCTCCAAAGAATCCTTTTCAGCCCCTTTATTTTGAAGAGTGTCTCTCCTACTTCACTGCTAGAACATGTTTTACGAAGCTTCATGAACGCTTAAAGAAACAGTCCAAAGTCATAGAGTCATCGCTTACAGTGTTTGTAACTATTCTCAACTTGTGCACAAAATGGCATCACCCTGGCCTACATAAAAAACTTTTTAAGTAAAAGATATCTGATTATAGTCCATTTTGTATGCCAAATGATTAATCCGATTATACTGAATACTGCTTGTAACTGCTTGTAATTGTTTAACAGGGTGGACTTATTTGCACTAAAAGACTTGCTCCCTGAGACCAGATGAAGGTGCAAGTACAACCTGCACAACGTGCAACACTGCACAGGGAAGAACGTTCAGTTGATGAGCACTGAGTCGTGGTGGAGTGCCCTATGTGGAAAATGACCAGTTAGGTACCTCCACACAATCTGTATATACTACACGCACACATATATATATATATATATATATATATATATATACACATGAGGTCAGCACCAGTCTCTGTTTACCATTCATGAAAAATGGGGAATTAGAAGAGCGTGTCTGAATGAAAAAAGGTCTGGTTTGCCACAAACATCACAGCACAAAGATCACGCTAAGATAGCTGAGCACTCTGTAACAATGATGATTTTAAATGAATAGATTTTAAAACAGCAGCATGTGTGCCCATACAAAAATGTCATATATTGAGAATATATTCTGATATATTCTATTTGCATTTTGGAATTATACTGACAAAATATTGCAATATATTCCATTTTCCTCTTGATGTCTTCTCTGTAGCTTTAAACAAGACAAGGAGATACTTGTGGCCCTGAAATTGTCAGTATAACTATCAGATATTACAGTATGTTACGATAATGACATGATTGCAAACAGCTAATTTTCTTTTTTTTGCGACAGAGAAGACAGCATTTGTGCACCGTTCAGTCATGTTAAAAGCTAAAAATCAATTGCATTTCTCTTTCTAATGCTACAGTGTCTTTTGGAAACCAGGCCCAAATTGTTTATGACAATATTTCGTTCATGTGGTATTTTTTGGGATGATTCTGATTTTGCTGAGAAGTTTCCTCCTGAACAAAGAAGACTATTTTGACTGAGATTTAAACAGGTATACTTCTGAAAATAGTAACATTCTTTTTTTTCACTTGAAGAGTATTTACATTCTTGTGCAAATATTCTAAATAAAGTTTAAACAAGACATTATAGTAGTGCCCACATGTCTCAGAAAACTATTATTCATAAGAGAGCTTAGGTCAGCAGGATTAATAAAAATTCTTACAGAAATAATGAGTTATTATTTAAAATCTATTTAAAATCTAGAATTGTAAAAAGTGTCCCTCATTTCACCAATAAAAGGCCTCTAAGAGGATCAGAAGCAAACCTCTGTAACAAAAAATGCTTTTTGCCTACATAAGTACAATTTTATAGGGTGTTATATTTGACTGGCCCTGCAACAGTCCATTTCCACCTACGAATGCCATTTACCCCCTGCTGGACTGCCATCTGACCTTTAGGCGCTCATAGAGGTCAAGAACTATTGCAGCAATGTTGTAGACTTAGGAGTAACACAGCAATATACATGTAAAGTTACACATCAGTAACAATGCACATAAGGAATGTAACATTTCCAGACTTTACAGGGAGGCGTCAGCTGCTAACAGATGCATTCATGTTCAGCGTCCTGACACATTGTAGTAGAACAGTCATGGCCAGGCCAACCCCCATATACGGGAACCGAACAGTCTGTAGTCTTTGGAACAGTCATGAGTCAAGAACAACTAGACGAGCCAACTGAAGGCTCAGCCAGTTCAGTGGGACTTATTGTCATATCAGTTTTCATTTCACCATGATAAATTCTGCTCTGTTCACAGTGATGTGTGTTTATATGTATTAGGGACGCACAATGATATCGTGATCATATCGGTGTCGACAGATTATTATTATTAAAAATACTGAAACTACGGATGTTTGGATTTGAGCAATAATTCAAACTGATATTTATCATATTCTGGAAGAGGTGAATGTTTAGGTGACACTAAACTATTATGCTAAAATGCCTGCATTTACTGCATTTGTCATCTTTTACAAATAAGCATTACATTTCTCTTAATAATTCTGTATTTGGGACAGGCTTAATCACAATTTCTGCATTTTATAAGTGTGTGAATCTGCACGAGAATCTGTATCGGCAGATATGTCAATGAAAAATGTAGATATTTGTATACTGCCACTGGTCATCGCTGTCAGAACAAAACCTTGCATCTCCATTTTTGTGTTTTTTTTGTGGGAATTGTCATCTGCTCTTTACAATGTGTTAAAATTTCATGATGAGTGGACTAATAGAAATGCTCCAAAAGTATGTGGAAAAAAAGTGATGAAGTTACCATTTTGAGGGTACAAGGTTTTGCCATACATAAACAGGGGTTAAACTGGAAACTGGAGCCTTCTCAGCCTTCTAACCATCTAATACATCTAATAAACTGATGGAGCTCATAGCAATATTAATCTACAAACACTAATAGCCAGCTAGCAAGGTCCAAATGTGTCTCTAGCACATTTAATAACAGTCAGTTGCCAAAACAGTAGGCTAAACATCTAAACATCATAGTTATGCAAGTCTGTCAAATTAAGAAAAAAGTCATGTACATAGAACAGGCCTACTGTATGAACAATGTTTGGTTTAGCTACTCAGTCTTGACATCTGGCTATGCAAACTTGGCTCGATACCTCTGTGACAGAAAGCTTTGGAATTACTTTGGATTTCATAGAATAAATGATGGCAAATAATCTCTACTTGCTCTAATCGCTACTTAAAGATTGAGGCATAACGAACAAACTTACTTATCAAGTTATAATGTTATGAAACTGCAGGAATGATTCAGTATGGACTCAACATATGTTTGTGAATGACAAGAGGGGGACATGCCGTATAAAACTGAAGCAGCAAAAAACAAACTAACTTTTTGGTGGGGGGTTATTTATCTTTGATAAACGATATGAAGCGAAGGTGGTGGAGCTCTGTTCCAGTGTGCTCCAGCCCAGTTTAACCCCTGTACATATATATATATACAGCACACAGGGTCTTTTCCTGGAGCCATGTGAACAAGAACAAGCGTGTGAATGTGTGTGTGGGTTAAATCCCTGTGACTGATGAGAGCTCGAGGGTGTTCCCCCACGGCCATGCTGCCCAAGCTGGTCTCTCTCTACTTCATTCATCTCGCTGAACGCCCAGTTTAAATCGCTCGGCAGCCATTCTCCTCTCTATTCCCTGTGCTCTCCCACTCTGTTACCATGACATCCTCTTTTATAATTAATTCTTTTTTTTCTGCCAAAGGCTCAGTTATTTCATAGTGTTGCCTTGGTAACTGAGCAGAGCGTGCAGTACCACTCTTGTACAGATGGGGCAGCAGAGTGCAATGCAACAGCTCTAACTAACGAGAACGCAACATCAAAGAAAATAATACAGAGAACAAAGGGCAGCTGTGTTCTGTTACCGCAGCAACACACAAAGGACAGCCTGGTACTGGGGGCAGCCAGGCTCATTATTTTCCTTCTGACGATTGCCACGGTAACATGTGAGCCGCACCCCGTGGCGCTGTAAGCGTGGGGTGAAAAAAAGACAAGCTTGACACATTAGCCTCTAACAATCCTCTAAGCTAAAAACATCAAAGCTTTGACCCTGGTGCCAAGGGTCAGACAGCACTGACCTCTGACCGCTCACAGATTGATAATAATGAGTATAATTAAGTTTAGTTGAAGTTCAGCTGGAAGAGTTGTTGTAAAGAGATGAGAGAAGTGAAAATTGTCAGAGGGGTGGGGCCTGGTTAAGCGGGCGTGGCTTGTGGGAAGATCGACAGCTAAGGCCCAGAGTGGGCAGGAAGACGCTCCAGGATCCAGGCGTTCACTTCTTGTAGGACAGACTCTGCCGTCTCAGGCAAATCGTGGTGCAGGGCGTGGTAGGCGCCTTCATATACCTGATTCATGCACACAAACATACGCACAAACATGGGTGATCTTGCACATTCAGAGATAACCACAAACACAAAAACATGCCAACATATGCTTTGATCAGGGTTGGAATGATGGCTCTTGATGTGGCTCTTGTGAAAGCACCTGGAATGTGTTAAACATGTTACAAATGCATGCTATGCGAAAGACCAGATTTGCTGGCTTGGTCATTTTAAATATGCATGCTATGACAAAGACGAGATGTACTGGCTGGATAACTGTTCGGACCCATACATCCATGTGTACTCAAGTGTGGTAAGGCATGTTTAGAATCCAGACAGAAGTTCATGTGCTTGCTTAGGTGAATGGCATGTTTCCAATGACTTGGCACGACAACGGCATGACTAGACGTGGTCACCCATTCCATGACTTTGCATACACTCACTGTCCACTTTATTAGTTAGCTACACCTACCTTGTATCTACACTCACTGTCCATTTTATCAGGTTCAGTTATCATATCGGTGCACTTTGTAGTTCTACAGTACAGACTATAGTCCATCTGTTTCTCTGCATAATTTGTAAGGCTGTCAGTACACCATTTTTCAATGGTCAGGTCCTCCACAGGACCACCATTGAGCAGGTGTTATTTGGGTGGTGGGTCATTCTCACCAGGCAGTAACACTGACATGATAGTGTGTGTGTGCTGCAGTAATGTTGCTGCAACTCCTAAGCTATGTTTACATCTAAAAGTTTTAACACTTCAAAAGGTTGTAGGCTTTGGTAATTGTCAGTAATATTTTGTGACTGTTTTTCTACTCAAGAGAAACATGATCTCTATGCAATGTAATGGTTCAGATGAAAAAATAATTAAACATTAAATAAACAAAATTTTCTCATCAGTAGGTTTTGGGCAAGTCAGGGAAGCTAAAGGCACACAAGTTGTGAAACAGATGAAGTTAGAGATGGAAACATATGAAATACAACTTTTTTAGCAATAAACCAAAACATTTTTTGCAGGAAATGTTATTATGTAAAGCATTTTAATTGCTAAAAGTCAGTTTGATGGAAACAAGCCACTGGGCAGCAAAAATCGCTTTTTTGCATTTTCATTTTATCACTTGTAATTTGTGCAGAAAGTTGATGGAAATATAGCTAGTGCCACTGCTAGGCTGAATATGATATCGAAAATATCCAACCAACAGTGACCTCTCGCCAGAAACTGGCCACTGATGAAAGACTAGAGGATGACTAACACAAACTGTGTAGAAATAGGTGAGCTTTCATTTCTTTACTTTCTTAACTTTACATCTACAAGGTGTACCAATAAGGTAGTTGTACCTAATAAGTGGACAGTGTCACTGCAGTGCTGAGGATGATCCTTCACCCAAATAATACCTTTTCTGTGGTGGTCTTGTGGGGGTCCTGACCATTGATAACTGGGGTAAAGACTTACAAATTATGCAGAGAAACAGATGGGCTATAATCTGTAATTGGGGAACTACAAAGTGCTCCTATTTGGTAAGTAGAGATGGTAAAAAGAAAAACGAGTCCAGATATAATGTAGGTGTACCTAATAAAGTGGCCAGTGAGTGTATACGTATATATATAGACATGTGGAATCAAACACTGGGCTTAATAAACCAAGCTTTTGGGCCAGTATGCTGAACCCTTTTGTGATAGGTGATAGATATTATTCCCCCCAGTGCCCCATTATATTTTGCATTGTTCAGAAGGACATTTTGATATGCATCAAAAACTCGCCTCTTGCTGCTTCAGTGAGAACAATTTGATGATAAACAACAGACACCATCGCATAAAAAATTGTTCTGTTGTCTACTGACACAGTTCACCAGAGTTTAATGGAAGTCTGTCGTAAACAGGCAGTCTGGGGCAGTCAGTCATGTTGACTTTGATGGTGGAGATGGAAGAGAACCTATAACCGCTGTTAGCTCACTTTCAGAGCTGTGCACTCTAGCTGTAAGGATAAGGACAGACTTCTCTTTTCTGCTTCTTTGTGAAGAAGAACAGTGACCAGCAGCAGTTTTCGCTTATGAGATTTCATATTGGAATGAGTTTCCATACATGATTCCTCGTTACATGGGAAATATATATATATATAACCATATACATTCCTATAACAAACCAGCAAAGTGTAACAAAGTGTTTTCATCTTAGATCTTGTTCAGTAATATAACAGTGTCTTGTTACAGTTGATGTCATGACATCTTATGTCACATGCTTATTTTCGCAAAGCGCACTCTAGTTAGACATCATGAGATCAAACATTATGAAATCTGTAATGTGACACTGTTATATTCCTCAACCAAACATGTAATGACAGCTTGACAGCACAAGACATCTGCCTTGACATGTGTATGGCATGATTCTGTCTAAGTTGAGCAGTGTTTAAGTGTTTTCTCAGGTTGATAAGCTGTAACCTTAAAACTCAAGAGCATTCTCAATGCCTCAGCGTGTATCTGCATCTGAAAGCATACATGATTGTATGCTTATGATTTTGTATATGATTATATGTGAGTTTGTGTCAGTGTGTCAGACTGTCTATGTTTAGGAGTATGTATGTATGTATGCATACAAGTCTGACTGACTTTGTTTTAAAGTCCTTTTGACTGTATACCTGTTTCTGTGCATGTGTGTCTCTAAGTGTGTTTGTTTATGTGTGAGATGTCAGACCCACCTTTAGTTTCTTGTCTGTACTCTGAGCTTGGTTATACATGAGATGAGATCCTCCAATGTCACAGAGCTTGTCTTCGTTGCCATGGAGAATGAAGAAAGGCCAGGTGATGTTGGGCAGCTCTCTCTCGATGCGCGTGGTGGCAGACATCAGCTGCATTCCAAACGAAACGCGCATCCCTCCGTGATAATTCAGCTCATCTGATTCATACGCCTCCACCTGCAGCACAAGAAGAGAACTGCATCAACACTGTGGGCAATTTATCTAATATTCTCAGAATAACGTGAACCAATGAACCTTACGAGCAATGGCCAGCTGGCTTCTGTTGCAGTAAAAGCTTTCCTTAAGTTCAACTGGATGCATGCACAGAGATGACCATATTGAGAAATGAGCAATATGAATAAAATGTGTTATTATTAGTAGTAGTTGTAGTGGTACTATAAAGATACAGGGCTTCCACTAAATGTATTTTCCATAAAAAGTTAGCAATCACAGTTAAGGTACTTTTAACCAAGCTTCACAGTTTTGTCATTTATAAATAAAAGAACTGTAGATTCCAGAAAGGTGTAAATAGGCAACTTCATCATGTCGGAGTTAGTTAAATGACTGATGCAGCGAGCTTTGTTGAAGAGCATTACTGCCACACCCACCTGTCTACCCAGACCAGTTGTATTTGCTTAACTTTGTTAGACAAAGTGAACAGAATCATGCACAAGCAGGAAGATAAGCTACCAATCATAACTTTGTCTGATGGTTCTCAGTGGTGTGTTCCTAACTTCCTCCTTCCATTTTTATGGTTACTTGGAAAAACCACAAGCATGCAAAGCACTTCTAAGGACATTATCCAAAGCCATAATTCTACCACTGAGTATATTCCACAGGAAATTACATCTGTTATGCTGTATATGCTTGTACAATCTTCATAAAAAAAGCACTGTCAATAGAATGGGATGCTTTGGAGCAGTCATACACAAGCTTATACTCAACGTTGAACATCGACTAGAGGGGTATAAAGCCTCCAGCACTGGCCAGTGAAAGAGTGGAATTGCGTTCTCTGGAATGATGGAGCTCCATCCAATAGCTCTAGGATGAGCTGAAGTGGTGTTTTGTGATCCTGAACTAATCATTTAACATCAGTACCTGACCCCACTAATGCTCTTGTGTGTAACGTTTGAGGCATGGAGGCGGGATGCAAATGCGAGTTTTTATTGAAATGAGAGTCCATAATGAAAACAAAACAAAACCTAACTACAAGCACGACAAGCAAACAAGAGACAAGGTTACATCCACAATGCAAGACCAAACACAGAAACACTGATTGAGACGGGTACAGATATATACATGGTTATAGGGACAAAAACAAAACTATGGACTAGAGACTTGGGGGAAAACACAGAATGAAGTTCATGCAGGCGAAGGAACTGGGTGGCAGACTGAGCAGGGAACTGGAAAGTTGGCACTGAAGCAGGACACTGGAAGGCCGTCACTGGACGCTGAAAGATTGGCATAGGAGGGGGTCGCTGGGAGGTTGGCGGCGGAGCATAATGCTGAGAGGCCAGCACCGAACCAGGACAGGAAATGAGAAAAGGAGTGGCCCAGGGTGCAGGAGCAGAAACTGTGGCATCCCAGGGTGCAGAAGCAGGAGTGGCCCAGGGAGCAGGAACTGGGACTGGTGACGCTGAGGCCATGGGCAGGTCTGGGGATGTAGAGGCTACCAGCAGGTCAGGGAACTCGGAAGCAACGTCCTCGGCGGCAGGCTGGGCCGCAGCGACGTCCTCGGAGGCAGGCGGGCCTTGCTGCGACGTCCTCGGCGGCATGGCTGGGCGTCAGCGACGTCCTCGAGGCAGGCGGGCCTGCTGCGACGTCCTCGGCGGCAGGCTGGGCCGCAGCGACGTCCACGGAGGCAGGCGGGCCTGCTGCGACGTCCACGGAGGCAGGCGGCCCTGCAGCGACGTCCTCGGAGGCAGGCGGCCCTGCAGCGACGTCCTCGGAGGCAGGCGGCCCTGCTGCGACGTCCTCGGAGGCAGGCAACCCTGCTGCGATGTCCTCGGAAGCAGGCGGCCCTGCTGTGACGTCCATGGCTGAGGCTGGCGGGCCTGCTGTGACGTCCATGGCTGAGGCTGGCGGGCCTGCTGTGACGTCCTGGCTGAGGCTGGCGGGCCTGCTGTGACGTCATGGCTGAGGCTTTCTGCCGCTACAGGGAGCAACAGCTGAAGCCGACAGAGCAGATGGTAGCTCTCCTGAAGTCTGACCTCATTTTCCTTGATAAGGTCCTGCAAACTCGCTGCTTCCCTGTGTGGTCTTGCATTCTGTAACGTAGCCTGCCGCCGAGGACGTTGCTTCCGAGTTCCCTGACCTGCTGGTAGCCTCTACATCCCCAGACCTGCCCATGGCCTCAGCGTCACCAGTCCCAGTTCCTGCTCCCTGGGCCACTCCTGCTTCTGCACCCTGGGATGCCACAGTTTCTGCTCCTGCACCCTGGGCCACTCCTTTTCTCATTTCCTGTCCTGGTTCGGTGCTGGCCTCTCAGCATTATGCTCCGCCGCCAACCTCCCAGCGACCCCCTCCTATGCCAATCTTTCAGCGTCCAGTGACGGCCTTCCAGTGTCCTGCTTCAGTGCCAACTTTCCAGTTCCCTGCTCAGTCTGCCACCCAGTTCCTTCGCCTGCATGAACTTCATTCTGTGTTTTCCCCCAAGTCTCTAGTCCATAGTTTTGTTTTTGTCCCTATAACCATGTATGTATCTGTACCCGTCTCAATCAGTGTTTCTGTGTTTGGTCTTGCATTGTGGATGTAACCTTGTCTCTTGTTTGCTTGTCGTGCTTGTAGTTAGGTTTTGTTTTGTTTTCATTATGGACTCTCATTCCAATAAAAACTCGCATTTGCATCCCGCCTCCATGCCTCAAACGTTACATTGTGGATGAATGCAATCAACACATCACAGCAACATTCCGACCTCTAGTGTAACGCCTTCTCAAAAGAGTGGCGGCTGTTACTGCAGCAAACAGGGGACACAATCCCTATTGATACTCTATTTAAGGAGAAACAGTGAATGATAAGGTGTCTACAAACATTTCAAAATAGAGTGTATTAAATGCTAAATATATCTGACTTCATTGGGACAACTAACAAAGCTTGTGCTGCTAATTACATTCTTCTACATTAATGCTAGTCTAAATCTGTCAGGAATTGCAATTCAAAGAGAGAGATGTGGCTGTCAATGGTTGATGCCTCAGTGACCTTTAGCTTCCTTTGTTTGTCTATGGCTGAAAGAGCATTGAGCAGCTGGCTTTTATTGTGGTAAAAGCTTCCCAAAAGTTCAAGCCAGATGATTTGATTCTCACAGGCATTTCCAACAACAGGTGCTCTTTTATCAAACTGCGTGTTTAATATATTACTACAGCCAAACCAATAATTTTCCTATTTTTTCCAAGTTACATAAGCAGTGAATTAAACTCCCAGCACTCAACACTCCTCATGATTTCATACGGTGTCCTAAAATGACATTTGTACCATGCATTGCAATTCCCAAATGTCCACTAACAGTCTTTGTATCATCGGGAGACAATATCAACCATCAGTTTCTAGCACTGAATGCTTTAGAGCACTAGCTTCCCCTGTTTGTCTATGGCTGAAAGAGTAATAAATTTCTACATCTAAACCACCAATTTTCCTATCAAATTACATAAGCAGTGAATTACATAATTCCTACACTCCCAGCACTCAACACTCTTCATGACTTAATAGGGTGTCCTAAAATGACATTTGTACAATATAGTTCAGTTTCCAAATGGCCACTGACGGTCCTTGGAACAGTGGGAGATATCATCAACCAACAATTTCTAGCACTGAATGCTCTAGAACCCTAAAAGGGAGTATGCTACCCAGCAAAATAACATAATTAAAGAAATAGGGATCAGTGGCATTATGAATCAACCTGAAAATCTGTAAAATATTTGCTTATATTTGCACTGTTTGTGAATTCTACTTCTGTTGACTCACTGTAGCAGCATAGCTGTATTTGAAAAAAGTGACCCCATTTAGTTTTTGATAAACTATGTAAGTATAATATACATTTGATGTAAACAAGGGTACAATCTGTGATATTGGACTTAGGCAGTACTTTACCACCTTACATAGTGTTCCTGCAGTACAGAAATGTATCAGATGCTTGCCCCACTTACACACATGACTGTTCACACACATCCCTGGTACCGTACCTGCTTGGGGTCCCGTGAGACCCTTTTAGGATCGATGGCGCCGAGAGTGAGGCTGGGAATCATATGGCTGAGGACTTTAGCAAGGAACACCTACAGACAAAGAACAGTTTACACCACAAAAAAGAGACATAAATGGAGATTCTGGTCCTAAAATCTGTTTGGCTGAACTACATCCAAAGTCACTGTAAAATACTCAACTAAACACACACTTATGCCTGCTTATAACAACTGCATTTTACAGTACTGCACACCTAACTAAAAAGAAAATGATGCTGTGAATGGACTGTCATGCTGCTCACATAAACCACCAAATATATTGAAAGATAATGTAAGAATGTGTTTTTTTAAGCTGCTCACTAAAATATTGCAGGCTAAACAGGCTAAAAGATAGCAAAGAGTCTAAACCACTTCTTCAATATTATTCATTGTTAGCCTTGTATTTACTGAATGACTCACAGTAAAACTGCCTTAATTGTCTTAGATGCTTGGCTTTTTATATCAATACTTAAGTAGGATTAATACTACTTAAGCAGTATTAAACCTAGTGTGGGAACACAAATGTGCAACAGCATTACCGTGATGCTAACACAGGAAATCACATATAAATTAGCATTATCACTGCAGCTGTTATTTGATGAGCAAAAACTATTGAAAACATTGCTATATTATAAGATTTTCATTTTTCTATGACAAAAAACTAAAAGGCTTATGGAATTACTGCAATATACAGTATTGGGTGACTGACAGTTATTGTCCTCCTTCAGAAGTCCATAGTTGCTTGGTGACAACAGCATGCTCTAAATAAACTACTTTTCTTGGTGGACAAATTGTTTACTATGATTATTATTATTAATTATAACTTATAGCATTTGTGTTTTTTTATCATATCCTATTCATCTGTGTTTTATAAAAGCAATAAGCCACTCAAGGCCATACATTACAGTAATGTTACCCAGGATAAAAATCACAATACCATTACTGTCACAGTAACATTTTGATGTTCATTACTGAACATCAAAATACAGAGAGCTTGTAGAACAGGGAGGTATTCTGCACTGAGCAAACTGATGTACTGAATTTACTTAATTCAAATGCGCATGTTTTTTTCCACACAAATAATATATATTACATCAATTTAAAAGTAAGTCAACCGAAAGATTTATATTTAATTAATGTGGAAATGATGTACACATTTGAATCAAGCAAATTAAATACATTACTTTCCTCACTGTAGACAGGGGTCCCTAAACTTGTCATCATGTTACCTTCGTTTTAATATGTCAATTAACTCCCAGTTTTATGAAATATTGATGATTGTGGTCACTCTTTCAACTGTAGGACCAACAGTGGGACCACACTTCACCCACTCTTACAAGTTCTAATAACTCACATATTAGTAGTTACTGAATAACTGCGAGTAGTTACTGAATAATCCGTCTTCAGATTAATAACTGAATACTAATGGGTTAGCAAAGATGTTTGGCTGTGGCCCACAACTGCAGAACCTCTACAGCAGAGTGAATTCAGTAAAAAAAAAGCTAAAGAAACATCCTCCTCCAGCTCCTTTTCATGCTCGCTGCAGAAGGAGCTGATGCAGAGAAGACGTGTCACTCGTCAGTTTTTGCTGAGAGAAAGATCCAGATCATCTTATCTCCTCTAATCAACCCAGTAAGTGATTTCAGTATGCAAATTTATTCACTGGAGACTAGCACTCCTTGTAAACAAAGTCTGTTCTGACCGAGGATGAAAATGTGTCAACTTGTTAAATACCGCGGGTATTTTGTAGTAAATAATTACAGCCACTTAGAAAACTGTCTTGAAACGTGGTTGTTTAGTTTATGTGAAAATGGGCAGAAAATTACAAAGCTGTACAAATGTACCGCCCCACTTCCCTGACTGACAACAGGGAGCAATGAGGAAGCTCTGCCTTTCTGTTCCCTCAATTACTAGAGTCGTCGTGTTTTTCTTTGGGTTTAACCCTTAGAATTCACAGTTTTGCCCAGTGATTATAAAAGCGTGGTGTAATTTGATGTTATTTCTTACTAACCCTTATTTCTGATTTGCCCATAGAAACCCATTGCATTCTGTTTAAAGTATGAGTTGTACATTCATTTGCTAAGGTTTGAACACCGGTAAAATTACACACTTTTATTTTCACTTCGTCATCAAAACGTCATTTGACCAGGGGTGCCCAAACTTTTGCACATGACTGTAAATGTTCAATCGAAACCGTATTTGCATTTGTAAATAGAAAAAGAGATATTTTATTATGGTTTTAATGTAATGATGTTATTGTTTTCTCTACAGTCATGTTTTCCTAAAAACTATCCTTTAATTTTTACCTTGTTTTTCTTGACATTTTTGACGTTAAAACAAAACAAAACAAAAAAAACTCAGCAGTGTAGACCCAAACCAGTCAATACAGAAATTAAATCCAACGTAAATGTAATCAACTACATAATACTATAATTCATTAGTAACACAGTTAAGTAAAGTACAGTAAAGTGGGTTTGTGGGTGTCTGTTCACCTTAAAAGGCGTGGCAGATTCAGGGTTCATTTGGATCATCGGGCCGATCAGAACCACACCTGCAAAATCCTGTGGCCTCTCACACGCTGTCAGAATGGAGATAGCACCACCCTGTAACAAAACATACGCACGTCAGGGAGCTCGAAAAGAAAGCACAATATAATACCAATCTGACGCTGCTGTGAGGCCTTCGCTTTTACTGCCACAGAGAGATCACGAAAACAAACCCCTCAGGAAATGAAGACTCCTATCACATCTCAACTGACAACTAACTGAACACTTCTTTCTTAGGCTTACAAAGAGCTACCATGAGCAGTGAGTGACAAGAATCAGTGATTCATTACTTTTCAGTGTGGCTGCCATTTTGTTCTCACTGTGTTTAATCAGTCTTTATTAAGACTTTGAATATTCATGAAGGGAGACTAACACTCAAAAGAAGTAGGAGGGGTCAGAAAACAGTTCCCACCAGTTTAAAATGACTCACAGTACTAAAAGACTGCTTAGAGCATGCATGCACACACACATAGAGAGATTTGTCTTTATACGATGTCAGGACGTAGGCTCATAGGCTTATTTGTATGTGCGTATATATGTATGGTGTAATTTGATGTTATGTCTTACTAGTAGCGCATTGAAAACAGTCATATGCAAAAGGTTTCAAATTAAAAATAACATGTTTTGTTTCCGACAACAGCAATATATATAGTCACTTATTTTTTTTTTCTTGCATAATTTAAAGACTCCATCCTTTACTTAAAAAAAGAATTTTGATCAACAGATCAACAGAAATCACCCAAAATTACTTGGAAAGAAATCTTGATACATTATCTTTCATTACAAGTTAAGAACAAAACCACTTATCTCCAAAAATGTGATGTGACCTAAAAACATTTATAACTTAAACAAAATATTAAGGGCACCTGGTGATTCCAAATTATGTGTGTTCTTTTTTCTTTTTCAATCTATGTACTATTATACTGTCTCATAGACATATTATACTATCTATAATATTTCTAGCACATGTACACACACACACACAAACATCCTCTTCCGTGACATCTCATTTTGAAGTGTGTGTGTGATGTTGAGGAAAGTCTGTGTTTATTCAGACAGTTCCTCTGGGGTCCCAAGGTGGAGTACAAGGTCAGGTACGCAAACAAGCACACACACATGTGGCATGTAGACAATTGTTTAACACACAGTGGCGCAGAAACATAGGCATTCACACGTATACAAGAGTTTCTGAGGCTTTAACACAAGCCTAACTGGAGATACCGAGAGAAAAAGTAGAGCAGAGTCTTTCACTGCCTCTCTGAGACACACACATACATACACACACACACACGCACACACACACACACACACACACTCCATCAGTACTATTGGGAATAAATGGCAGCATTGTGTTAGTGGCCCCATAACGAGCTGAAGACTTTGAGCTTATGTAAGGGTCTACCAGTCTGACATTATATAAGACACTGATAGACACTGAGAGAGAGAGCGAGTGAGAGAGAGTGAGAGAAACAAAATGAAACAGAATGATGGAGAGAGATGAGGAAGAGAGACAGTAGTACAGAAGCAGAGATCGAGAGAGCAAAATAAAGAGGTGATAAAAGATTAAAAACTATTGCTGTACATCTGTGACCTCACAGCAATCTGATTCAATTCATTAGAAATCTATTGAGTGTACATCTGTGACCTCACAATGATTTGATTCATGATTCTTTAGAAATCGATTCAGGGTACATCTGTGACCTCATAAGAATTTGATTTGATTAGTGTCTTCCTTAGAAAATGATTTGGCAAACGTCTGGAACCTCCGTGATTAGATTTGTTTACAAATCTACTCAGTGTACATCTGCGGCCTCATAGTTATTCTTTTTGATTATTATTCTTTACAAAACTATCCACTTTATTTCTTCGCACCACAATGCTTTAAATGACTCATAGACAGAAGTGTAAACAGACCAAATGTTAAATGCTAATAACATCCTAACATGATAGAAATGTGGAAATAAATAAAAACAGAAATAAATGTCAAAAAAAATTGCTGGGATGCTTAAATGATTCTATGCCAACACTTGTAATCTGTCAACAGAAACCTGAACCTGCGTGAGAGAAATGCTTCAGTCAGAGGACTCTATTTATAGCTGACACAAATTACGTACGGTAATAAAGTCATTTCATTTCAGCCTTTTAATTACACTGGGAGTCAGGTACAGGCAGAAAACTGTAAAGCAGTGGCATCATAGCAATGTTTAAAGGGCACAGCAACTGTGCTTTTTCAGGCAGTGATTATGAAGCCACATTCATACATCCTCCAAGCTCTGTGCTTTCTTGAGAAGTTTATTCTCGTAACATTCCTGTTCCTGAAGTACTTACAGGTTCACTCAGCTGTAGCGACAGCCGCAAACTGCATGTTGTCCCAGAAGGCCTCAGAGACATTTAATGGGATATAAAACAATAACTTAACAAGTAAGCTTGCACTCGCAGTGATACAGTTTGAATATGATTGTTTAGAAAATGATTGCGTGTACATCTCTGACCTGAAAATGATTTGATTTGATCATGATGATTTAGAATATGATACAGTGTACATCTCTGACCTCATAGTGGTTTGATTCAGGTTTCTACAAAACTATTCAATGTACGTCTCTGACCTCATAGTGATTCTATTCAGTTATTTGCAAAACTGCTCAATGAACATCTGACCTCTTAGTGATTCAAATGATTATGATTCTTAAGAAAATGATTCAGTGTACATCTCTGACATCACAGTGATTTGATTTGATTATGACTCTAAAAAACAGTGCAGTGTATACCTGTGACCTCATAGTGATTCGACTTGATTATGATTCTTTAAAAAACAATTCAATGTACATCTCTGTCCTCACCATGACTGAATTTGATTACGATTCTTTAGAAGCAATCCCATGAACAACTCTCATCTCACAGTGCTTTGATTTGATTATGATTCTTTACAAAATGATTTAGTGTACATTTCTGAAATCAAAGTGATTTCATCTGATTATGATTCTTTGCAACACTATTCAACGTCTATCTCTGACCTCAAAGTGATGTAAATTATTTTCGATTCTTTACAAAATGACTGAATGTTAATCTGTGACTTCATAGTGATTTTAACTGAATATGATTCTTTCCAAAACGTTTCAGTACACATCTCTGACCTCACAGTGATTTGATTTGATTATAACTCTAAAAAACAGTGCAGTGTATATCTGTGACTTCATAGCGACTTGACTTGATTATGATTCTTTGAAAAATGATTTAGTGTACATCTCTGAGCTCATAGTGATTCGATTTAATTATGATTCCTTACTAAATGACTTAGTGTACATCTCTGAGCTCATAGTGATTTGATTTTTATTATGATTCTTTACAAAATGATTCAGTGTACATCTCTGAGCTCATAGTGATTTGATTTGATTATGATTCTTTACAAAATGATTCAGTATACATCTCTGTGTTCATAGTGATTCAATTCAGATCTTTACAAAAATATTTAAAGTACGTATCTAACCTCCCAGCGATCTGGTTGATTATGATTCTTTTCAATTCAAAGTAAATCTTATCAGAACTGAATAGTGCATATTTATAAGCGAATGTTATTAGAATTCTGCTTAAAAAATGTTTTCACATGAACAGCCTTAATAAAAGCACTGAACGAAAGAGTGAGGGAGGGGAAAGGAAAAAGCAAAAAATCCAGCAGTTTGAGTACTGCAATAACAACAGAAACATGAGACTGGTGAGAGAGTGAGGGCGGGAGACACCCAGAGACAGAACGGGAAGGCAGTGTGGTTTTGATGTACAGAGCAGATCTAAAACAGAGAGAGAGAGTGAGAGATGAGCATGGGCAATGGGCTTTACACACTTTCACTATGACAGCCCGCTTTACTGGAACATCACACACGCGTGTGCACACAGTCACCACCATACTCAGAGGAGAAAAAGAAAATTGTTCCCAGACTCATGCGTGCTCTTTTATTCTCACTGCAGTTGTGAAATCCCCTCCCTCTCCTTCAGATGTGACAGCCTCCAGCTCAAAACATGAACACCACAGATACTAAAAAAAACCCCAACATTAAAGGATTAGTCTAACAAAATTTTAATTTACACAACATTTCCCTTCATCCAAATGTAGTTGATCAACCAAGACATGTTCAATGTCTGAAGTTTGCTTCTTTTGTTGGGCACTCTGTAGTTTCAGCCATTATGTAATTTACTGTTACCTATTAAAATGGAAAAAGGTGCAGACAAAATTCTGACTTAAAGGTTGCTTCTACTGTTGTTTTCAGCAAGGCAAGACAAGAGGAAAACTGTGTACATTTGATTTGTCACTGAACTATTCCCTTAAGAACACCTCTAACCATCATAATACACTTTCGAAAATGATGTGATAATTAACATGTCTTTTGTTTTCTCACTATTTTAAAGTCCCAGGGAAGTGTAAAATGTTTGCACTGTTGGTATGATACTGAAAATGAGTGTTATATTAAACATCCAGGAAAGTTTGAATGAAAAATGTAAGATTAAGAATGAGGCCATAATAAAAAACATCTTTAAAATCAGACCTATCTGCAGGGGTGTAAAGAGTACTGAAAATCCCTACTCAAGTACAAGTACTGTTACTGTAGTGATAATTTACTCAGGTACAAGTAAAAGTATTAGTAAATAAAATTACTCAAGTTTGAGTGAAATAGAAGTTCATTAAAAAACTACTTAAGTACCGAGGTACTTAGTTACTTTTTCGTATTTCCATTGTCACAACCTGAACATATTTCTGAGCTGACTCAGCTGCATCATTGGAAATAATCTGTACAGAAAAACACTAAAGCAAAAGTTCTGAGAGCTGAGACTGATCACAGTTCACTCTGCACAGCTTTCTGTGAACTGTGTAAGGAACAAGGTTTACTTTAAACTGCATGTGTTTTATGGTTAGATGATTATATAAGACATCCTAGTTTATCTTTTCTAATAAGGTATTTTAGGACCCCTGAAAGACTGAACAGATCTGTTACTGTTTAATTAAGTTAATTTATGAGAAAATTTTAAGAGTCAAAATTATGAGTGGATTGCTTAACTAATAATGTAGTTTTAGTGAGAGTTCTGCTGCCCATCAGCTCCCTGGACTCTAGCTTACATTAATCAGTGCGAACCATTACAGACAGTAAACACATTCACAGCCTTCAGACTGTATATTTTCACTGATATCTGTTCAGAACATTTACACCATTAAAATCAGCAGCAACATCAGCAATTTACCCAACTTTGATTTTTACTGCAAAATATTTCACTTGTAATCATGCTGATCACTTCATACAGAATCAGACATTATTATTGCATTTCACAGTTAAACAGCTACACAGCTAAACAACCTCTCAGCTAAAGACAAACACCAAGGCAGAGAGACAGAGAGAGACAGAGAGAGAGCGAGCGGATAAAAGAGAGGAAGACAGAGAGAGAGAGAGAGAAAGAGAGAGAGGGCGGGGAGGTAGGGACAGATCAGATCAGGCCAGTCAACGACAGCGTGACACAATCACTGTCCAGAGTTTACAAAGAACCTGTATTAGACTAGATTTTTTAGCCGTTCACGACCGTTTATCTCCTAATACAGGAGCTAAACCAGGCTGTATTTTAAACGGCAAACTGTAGGCTGTGGGCAACACCTGTCAACTAAAGTAGCTGACAGACACTTGTAATAAAATATATGCAGCAGATTTTAAGTTTCATAAACAGAAGCTTTATAAAAGAGAGAAGAAACCCATAAATACGATATCTGTTTAGCTCAGATCTCAAGTAAGAGTAAAAGTACTACTATGTCATTCTACTCAAAAAAGTACCATTACAGGGAAAACTGTACTCAATTACAGTAACGAGAGTAAATGTAATTCGTTACTTACACCTCTGCCTATCTGAGATCTGGCCACGGTCCTAATATTCTAATGAGCATGTGTGAGTGACATCCCTCAGTCCAACACTCTTAGCCTGCTATGCCACTGAAGCTGCAGAGGAATAAGTAAAACAAGCTGTACATGCAGGTAGTGTTGCAGACTGTCCCCTGCTGTGTCCATGACTCACTAAAGAACATTATCTGGCTTTTATATGGCGACGTCTTGAAGAAAGTAAGGTTCTCAGGGAATGCTGGCATGGCCGGTTGAACAATCAAAGACTAACAAACAATTGAACGGAACCAACAGACGGATGACAGGTAGACAGATGTCAGCTTGGTTGTTAGGTTTCTCTGTGTAAGTTTCTCTGACTCAAACACAGAAAGACCACAGAGGAGCACAGTTTTGTTAAAGCTATGTGGGCAGGACAAAGCCTTGTGATTGGAGAGGACGGTGCTTATGTAAGCACTACTCAAGATTAGGACTGGTCAGTTTACACTGAAGGAGGATTTGGGCAAAATCCATCAGCCATTTAGTGAACATTGGTAAGATATTCACCTGCATCTCCACCATGCCCTGCGATGGACTGGCGACTTGTCCAGGGTGTATCCTGCCTTTCGCCCAATGACAGCTGGGATAGGCTCCAGCACCCCACCGCGACCCAGAAGGATAAGCGGTTTAGATGATGTATGTATGTATGTATAGTAAGATATTCACAGGACATACAGGACACACTACTTTGAAAGAAAACATAGATTTAGGTTCCCTGTGGTGCCACAAGAGCAAACGTATCTCTAACACAAGTTGTGTAGTTACAGCGCATATTTGTATTAAAATTCTGACTACATTATGCATTGGTTGTGTTAAATGAACACATATTGTCTTGCCCTTAACTTGTCCTTAACTACATGTTGTTGTGTGTTTTAACACAACCATTTTGAGAATGTATGATGTCAGAAGGTTCAAGAGTGCAGTCATGTCCTTCTTCACTCTTCAAAACATCTCCTTTTGTGCCTGCTCAGGCAGTGGGTCACTATATTGTGAAATAAGTTGCTATGTGGGTTTCCTTTGTTATGTCCAGATTTACAGTATTAGCTGGAGTTTGGCTTATGCTGATCTGCAACAGGATCAATGATAGTTTAGGAAAAAATCTAATTTACATAATTTTCCTCTCACCTCAAATGTACTGTCAGCAATGACATGTTTAGTGCCCAAAGTTTGCTTCTTCAGTTTTGCACTGGAGGCTAATGTAGCTGACCTGAATGAAAGCTTATATCACTAAATTGTCATTGTGCAAACTGCATACCTATATTTTCATTACTACATTACATCACTACTGTGTTGAGCTGTAAAATAATCTCTAATAGACTTAAATAGAATGGTTTCTGGCTCTGTATGACACACTGTTATCTGCAACAGTGATAAATGACAAAAGCTAAAAGCAGTAGCAGCATCTCAAAGCCTAAATTTTGTCTGTAGTTTTTCATCCATTGTCAAAAAATACATAACTGACATTAAGTAACTCTGTTTTTTTTGCCAAACTACCACTTTCATCATAGTGAGGCTATGGGCTGCCCCTGAATAGCTGAATGAAACCTTGATTTGGCCTGATCTGTAGTCCATGGCCTCATTAAATACACTGGCAGCGCTGACTACGACAAAGATCTACATACCAGATAAGGAAAAAATCAAAGGAAGCAAACAGGAAAGGAAGTTTGATTCAGCTCTTTGGACACAGCTCCGGTATACCTGAGCTAGACAGGGCGACCTGCTGTAGACAATCAGAACACCGCACTATATGACTGTGTCCAAATGCCATGCTGTCTACCCTGCACAAAATACCATTTTCAGTCCGTCTGGGATACAGAGACTGAAAAGTAAACAATGTGTTCTACATCCTCTCCTCTACAAAATACATAAGTGCACACACCCCACGCCAATCTAAATAGACACCAATAGCTCTGCATGTCAGAAATTCAATAATGGTTTATTGTTATTGTACCGATTTCCAGCTGCCTCACTGGTTTATATCTGCTTGAGTAAATATTAACATGCTGCCCTGGAAAATTTTCTGTTTGTCGGAAGAAGTGTTATGCTTAATATAGTAAACATTAACCCACACGCACTCACATGCACAACGCTCAGATAGTCAGCTGGGTCCTGTCCCAGTTAATACAAGAAAATGTAATGTAGTTAGATGTCATTTATAGTGATATATATAAATATATATATATATATATATATGTACACACATACACAAAATATGTATATGCTTATAATTATGTTACTGCTTATAAGTATCTGTATAACCCCAACCATAATCTCAGTAACCAAAAAGAAATGATTTTGCCCTTTAGGTTAAAAAACAGTAAAAATTTTTCATTTTGTTAGAAAAATGTCCACTTAAAAAAATTGCTGCAGCATTATAACTGCAGTAACTGTATGTCTACAGTAACACTGGACATTGTTTTTTATAGCTTAAAAGTACAGAAAGTATAAAACTATAGTAAACCAGGTATATAATTACAACAAAGTATAGTAATTGCTGTTAAGGTCAGTTCAGTTGCCTTTACATTGCTGTACACAGTGACAGGTGATGTTTACTCACTAACACTTCATTTACATTCAGGGCCTGATACCCAGAGAGCACGGGCTACTATTGTGGAGGCTACTCTTTACAGACACTGTAGTTACAGCAGTACCCACAACAACACCAATTACATTCTTTGGGGAAGATGGAAAAATTACAGCCTTAGGCTGAAAGAAAACAACTTGTGTCTCCATGACAGAGTTCTGCTGGCATGCAGAGGAAATCCCTGCCTGGGTGTGTTTGTGTGGTCAGCTCACGCAGACAGAGCGGTTCTCAGCCCGGCAGAGGAAGAGGTTTACGATGGACATACGGTTACTCATGTAACCCTTAGACGTCACAACAACATCAGAATTATTTCTTACTCATAGCTCATTAAAACAAGCAAAGAGATTCAGCTGTAAATTCAAGTGCAGATTCAATATTTAAGTGTTTATATGTAGAAAAGGAAATTTTTATTATGATTTGAATTTTATGAAGTTATTGTAGTGTGTACAGTCTTGTTTAGAGGAAAGAAGTTTTTTGTTATGTCATACTTTATGTTTCCTAGAAGAGAAAAAAAAATTGCTGCCTAACAAGGTAGCGGCACAGCGTCACCAACAGAGCAGTGCCACGTGGGGCAGTGGGGGTTTTAGTGTCTTGCTCAAGGACACAGCCAGGAATATCCAGTCAGTCCTTGGATTTGAACCTATGACCTTCTTGTTGCTGGTTTACTGCTCCAAATTCTTTAACTATGCTACTGGCCACCCCATTTCCAAACAGTTACTGCATAATAAGCCTCACACCGAGTCCTAACAGCAAGCGACGCGAGCGAGTGACGATGACAAAACCAAAATGCTCCCATTATAAACAATGAAGCTGTCTACACCAGAGAGATGCGGTGCGATTCACCGTTTTTGATGGACGCCCTGTTTCTATTTTTGGCGCACTGCGCTGCATTACTCTCCTATTCCATCTCTCCTGGATGAGGAGAAACTCTTCCATGAAGTGAAGAAAAAGGGACTCCCTCTCTACTGCCCTTTCCATAAGTATTCTAAAGAGCTGAACAGCATTTTGAAGGAAACAATTTAGAAAGAATTTGGCAGTTGGAGCTAAATGAGTGCCGTTTGTTTTGCGTCACTAATTGATATAGATACTTAGCTAACTGGCCAATCCTTTAGTGCAGCTAGGATTCATTTTAGCTGAAGTCTCAATATATTTTCTGATAGGTCCGTAGTTTGTTTACATTTTGACTTGACATGCACTTGACGCTTCCACTGTAGGCATCCTGAAAGCTTTGCGACGCAATGCAATTGTACATTTAAATGTTTGCTTCACAGTGTTAGCGTGTAAAAAGCCTGGAAATTTAAGGGGTTAAAAACTGGAGGAGATGATTGTCTCACCATTGAGTGGCCGAGGATGAAGACTGGCAGGCTGGGGTAGCGTCCGGTGATGAGGTCAATGTGCTGCAGAGCATCTCTGATGTAAATCTGGAAGTTTTTAATATTCATCCTCTCTCCTTCACTCTGGCCATGCCCCACTAAGAGAGAGAGAGAGAGAAAGAAAGAGAGAGAGAGAAAGAGAGAGAGAGAGAGAGAGAGAGAGAGAGAGAGAGAGAGACAGACAGAGAGAGAGATAGAGAGCATTAATCAAAATAATCAAAAATAATTTCATTACGAAAAGTGGAATTAAGAGGATGGAAAGGCACAAAGAATTTTTCTGCCAAAACACATGCACTTGCACACACATACGCACTACAATAAGTGCAAGCGAGAAAAGAAACATGCTGGAAAGAACAAAGAAAGAGAGAGTGAAAGTGCAAGTATGGGAGAAGTGAAAGAAATCAAGAGGAAAATTGCCTGTCTAATGGAACCTCCTATGATTTTCAATAGAAGTGATTACTCACAGTGAGAGACCAGACACAGTGTGTTCCAGAAATCACACACACACTCACTCTCTCACACACACACACATTACTTCTGTGGAACGTGGTGCCGCTGTGAATCATTAGTTACCATGGCACTCTGACATCAAGTGACATTTTAAATATTCTGAGCACGTGCACTTGATATTTTCCTTCAATACGCTCTTTCACCCCTCTTTCTCTTTCCCCCTATCTTCTCTAACTCTTTCTTTCCTTGCTATTTCAGCCCCCCCCCCGCACTCTCCTCCTCTCCTTCTCTCTCTATCTCCCTAATCTTCATCTCCTTCTTATGCTTTCATTCTCTGTATATCTGGGAATTCATGTATGTGTGCGTGTCTGGGTGTGTGACAGCAGCAGGAGATAGCAGATATCTCGAAGTATTAGTCATGACAGCCACTTCAACTGGAGAGCAGTGTATAATCAGTCAAATACAGCTGTCTGATTGCTTTTCTTTCGTCTCTCTGCTCAAGAGATTCAGCCTCATATAGACCCATTAAAGCCCTTTACCCTCTATAGATGCTGCTCCATACTGAGGACATACTGCATCGCAATTAAAGGAGTAGTTCAGGCAAAAATTTAAATTTACAAAATTTCCCCCTTACTCCAAATGCAGCTAATCATTCAAGAACTGGTTGGTGTTTGAGGTACAAGGCTCATGCAACTAACAAGTAAAGGAAGCTTACAGTCACCAAATAGCATTTTACCTTACCTCAAACAAGTATGAAAAACTTCAGGCTTTAAGATGGCTGCTACTGTTTTTATATAAGCGCTACACATTTGTCTGTTTTTATAGGTATCAGTATGACGTACATTGCCAGAAACCACATATGCAAGGCTATCTGAGACTGCTCAAGTCCTCACTGTGTGAGGCAAGTGTGTAATGACTGAGGCACACAGTTTGTACAATACTAACTGATGGATCAGCTTTTACCTCCCGTGCAAAATAAAGAAGCAAACTTTGGACCCTACAAATTTCTTGGCTGTTAAGTTAGATTTAATGCCTGATTCACTCTACAGCCTTTTTAAAACCCTAACAAATATTAAAATCACAAGAGATCCCACATATAATGGAAGATTTTACTGATTTCTTATCTTTAGTCATCCCTCTGTCATCCAAGCCCCCACACTACAAGATTTGTCCAGAACAAAACGCCACACATAATGCTCACGAATCAGCAGCCCCATCAAAAGTCTCATCTCTCAGAACCTGAGATCTTGCACATCTTGAACATGATTAATGGTTATGATTCCAAATTGGCTGGTCACAACTACACTATGAGCTGATCAGTGTGATAAGAATGAATTATACACAGCTCACACCGCAGGATAATGATTGTAAGCCCAAAAACCATTAATAAATTGTTAAATATTTTATGTATTATTGCCCAAGAAACCACAAAAAAGCATAGATGCATCACTAAACCTCAACATTCATTAGGAATGAGAAAATCTTTAAATATGCAGGATCACGCCAATTGTAAACACCTCCCAGCTGCTCTGTTTCTAAACCCCACCCCTTCCTGCAACAGCGCAGGCTGTCTCCGTTTGAACAGATGAGACAGAGCAGAAACAAAAATAAGCCCTAACTAAAAGAAAGGTTTTGTCTTTCAGTCACTACAGCACCAGTCACTCCATTTCACTTGCTCAGTTTTGAGCCTTTATCATCTAAACTTGCCACAGTGCAGCATCAGTGAGCCAGAATTGCTGGTGCTTGAGCCTTCTTGCTAGTCTAATGCTAACTTCTACCACACCTCATATTCAACCCTGGTGAAACTGCCATGGGACATGATGGCTGAGGAAAAGGGTGGAGGGGAAACAAGTTGTGTCTCTCCCTCTCAGGTGCTCATGTGGCTCTTAATGAGAGATAGCTGACGCTGGTTTGGCATCAGCAGTGCGCACTCATGCTGCTTCCCACGGCTCTTGTCAGCAGCTGGGGCTCAGACACTGGCTTCATGATGCCTGTCACAGCTGTTGTCGGTACCTGGCACATCTTCTCATTAGCATATTTTAGTATATTGGACCATGAAAGGTTCAAACTCATTTGAGCTGCTATGTAACTCTGTGCAAATCGCTTTTCTTCAGATGTACAAAGAAAGCCTGTTTTTCCAATGGACAAAAGGAACTAAAGAACTAAAGTAACATATTTGATACAAATGTCAGCCATATAAGCACCATAAGCCATCCAAAAGGAGATAACCATTTAAAAAACACATGAATGGGGTCTTCCCGAAATTGGGACACCTTTTGTGATAGTCAGGCAAATAGGCCTCAAAATTGAGCCAGTCATCCTGTAATGTGGCCCAGGCATGAGAGGAAAACTGTGTACATTTGAAAATATTTCTTTAAGAGGAGGCCACCCATTACCATTCTGTACAGCGACAGCTTTTCCCAAACTGGCCTCTCCTCACTCTCACTTTATTACAGAGTGTCACTCCATATGAAGTTAGACGCACAGCTGTAGAGGTAGGGCTGAAAGATTGTTAACTTTTTTTATATCCAGGTGTCTGGGTCTCGGTCTTGACTCGGTCTCGGCTCTAATAGTCTTGACTACAACACTGTTGTTGAGTTTGTCACTCACCATGATCGTGGGCGAACACATACAAGCCGTGTTGATTTAGTGTGTGAGCAACGTCTGCATACACTCCACAGTGCTCTCCAGCTCCATGTGCAATAAACACCAGTGCCCTGAAACACACAAACACTCTACAGTCAGTCATGTAACACACATACATACACACATACACACATAAACTCCCTGCTAATAATATTCAGAAGATTCATCTTTTGCTTTAGACCCCATCAGTATTTCAGAACACTCCTGGATTAGACGCTTATTTAGCACTGCTTTCAACCAAACATTTGATTTTAAAACCATGCGAAAATTGCAATTACCGGGGTATTACTAGAGATTCATTGATGTGGGGCTAAGCCCGTACTAGGGGGTCTGTTGGCATGGTCCCCCAGAAGTTTTTTAATGGCCCCAAAATGTCTGTTCATCATGAACTTATAGAGTAGCAACAGCCAGAAAATGGCTATTTGGTCAAGCTGGCACACAGTAGATCTGTCTCTTTGTAGTTTGTATTAGGCACATAGCTAATGTGACTTAAACACTATATCCATCCACTTACAACAGACACAGATCAAGCAAAGGTACTGAAGTCAAGCCTAAATATATTATTAACATACAAACTTACAGATCCGTTCAGTCTCAGTTGGTGCAATCAGAGAGTGTGATTTTGCTCTGCAAGCATGTTTAATAAGCTCATGGTTAATTTCATGGTCATACTGACAAACATTTTTCTCAGTTAAGTTCAATTAAATTCAACTTAATTTAACATCAGTGAAACCTAAAAAAACTCTCCCTCTTTTTGTTTTATTTTTGCTAATGCTAGCCTAACCTCTTTACCCAAAAAACCCAAAGTTAGTTAACTAGCTAGCTAACAAGCAACTGAGTAAAAACCCGACAGTCAGCTATACTGACCACAATTTGCCATATCTTGGCTCTGTAACTACTTACTGTTTCACTCTGTATATTGTAGATTTTGAATAAGGTCTAACTTAGTGTTTATTTGAGTGAGATTTTAGCCAAAATTCTGCATTCAGAATTTTTCACAGTGGTGGTTTATTTTTGCGTACCGAAGTTACTTTACTCAAGATGGAACTGAACTTGGAGCACTAAGTTGACAGTGGAAAACCTGCCTATCCATTCAGCTAAACTGACTTAGAAGACACATCTCTAAACAAAGCATTCAGAAGATTTATGTCTTTTACATCTGTCTCCTTATCGGACATAACAGTCCAGCACATCTGTCTCTTGGCATCTTTGGGACGTCCATTACAAAAAGGGACGCATAAATTTGTGACTGTTTTTCATGAATCAAAACTGGGACACATCTATTGAAATACATACTTAAAAGTTATGTTTTTTTATTAAATATAAATATTTGTGGTTTTAAGCGTGGTATTATGAACAGGTATTCAAGCACTCATTCAACTGACCTCATCACACCAGTTACCTGATTGAGAGATACTGAACATTAAATAATGAAATGCAGGCACATGCATCTCTCTTTCTCTGTTTCTCTCTCTCTCCCTCTCTCTCTCTCCCTCTCTCTCACACACACACACATACGCTCAGTAATGTACACTCACAGACTCATATATATACTCCAACAGCCTAACAGACATACCATATATTCAGCAGTGTAGCATTAACAAAGACAGCAACGCTCATAAGAGTGAAATATATTTACAGATATAACACACACTCACACTCACGCAGGATAATTAAGTGGGTCGTGTTGGTCATTTTGTTTTCATTCTTGGTGTCTAATGGCAGCCAGACAAGAATTTCTCTACCAAACATGGGTGTTTGTCCAACCGTCTGTTCTGTAGCAGATCCAGCACTGCCTCTCTCTCTCTCTATCTCTCTCTGCCCCCACCACACACACACTCATATACATATACACACACACATAAGCACAAACACTTTGTCTTTCTTTCTTTTCTGTGCCCACTCTCCTTCCTTCTTCTTTCTGTACTGTCCTCCTTTCCCTTCTGCCTTTTTCTCAGTAAGCTTGGTCTTTTAGACATGTCTTAGGAGTCTCTGACTTAAGCACATAAACACTATATGGCCAAAAGTATGTGGACACCCCTCCAAATGATTGAGCTCAGTTGTTTCAGCCACACCTATTGTTTTATACAATAGGTGAAAACAGTTTTATACAACCAAGCATATAGCCATGCAATCTCCATAGACAAACACTGGCAGTAGAATGGGTCATACTGAAGAGCTCAGTGACTTTAATTTTGTCACTGTCATAGGATGCCACATCATTTTGTGAAATTTCTGCCCTGCAAGATCTGCCATAGTCAAATGAAAGTGCTCTAACTATGACATGGTTGTGTCTAGGAGCAACAACAGCTCAGCCACAAAGTGGTAGACCAGACAAACTGATGGGTTGGCAAGTGCTGAATTGTAACTATCCTCTGTTGTATAACTCACAATCTGCTTCTGGAAGCAACATCGCAAAAAACTCTGCATCAGGAGCCTCACGAAATGGGTTTCCATACCCTAAGATCACTATGTGCAATGCCAAGCATTAGCTGGAGTGGTGTAAAGCACTGTTGGCTGTTTTTGCTCAAGGTTTGGGCTCGGCCCCTTAGTTCAAGTGAAGGGAAAAGTACGAAAATGTACGAAAACACACACACAGACCATTTATTGAGACCATCTGAACTTTGAACTACTATCTGTGGCACATACACATTTTTGTGGCAATAGTGAAGTGGCAAGATCAAGTACTTTAACGTGTGTTTCTGTATCTGAATTGTTTGCACATGTGCATTAAAGCCAGAGCCTGGTGTGTGTGTGTGAGTGTGTGTGTGTGTGTGTGTGTGTGTGTGTGTGTGTGTGTGTGTGAAAGAGAAATTTTGCAGGTCAGAATCCGATTAGAAGGCTCTATATGAGGGTGAAAACCATGAAGGGAGGGCAACAAGGACAGAGGGAGCACTGTGTGTGTGTGTGTGTGTGTGTGTGTGTGTGTGTGTGTGTGTGCATACATACTCATGTAATTTAAGCTCTTAAAACCTATGGACCTGTTTGTGGGTCCAGATTTCACGTCCTCACTTAATTACATAGTAGTCAGTGAATTACTTATATTGGTGACTAAATAATACAGTTAATAACTTAATAAATAAGCCCTTGGTTCAAGGGGTTACAGAGGAGTGGAACTTTAAGGGTCTTTCTACTTATTTTTACTATTCTGTTTATGCTTTTAGCTATAGGCTAAAATTGCATAAATGTACTATGGACTGTCAAATAAAGAACAATATTGGTGATTTGAACTGAGAGATCTGAGAGATTTCTCATCTTTATTGTCTCCTCAGTTGGATTTAAGTTTGAGGAAGCTTGCATCAGGTGACCCTCTTAAGCCAATCAGAACTATGGCAGATTTTTTATAACCACAGCTCCACCTGACAGACTGTTAACTGTGTTAAAATAATGTTAAAAATGTGCATGGGTCTCTAAATTTTTTGCTATTCTCACTGTTCCTTCTCTTCTCTATCTCAATTGTTCCTATCTACCGCCACAGGATGTGTGAGCTGCCAAGCAGTAAATTCTTTCTGTAGTGTCTACTGGCTAATGTAACTTCACCAAAAAATGTGGAATTCTCGAATGATTTGTTGCTTTTCATATGTGCCTAGCCACTGTGCTATACTTTAGCAAATGCAAATGTTTGGATGACTGGAAAAATTCCTACTTGCGTTGGCCACTAACTTAGCCCCGTGTTTACTGCAGTCCCTCCCAGTTTACCTCAAACTCAATATCTCACACATAGTGCGTTTGCATGCACTTAATAATCTGATAACTACAGAAAATCAGATTTTGTCAATAATTCGATCAACGCGTTTACATGCACGTGAGTAATCAGATAATGGAGAAACTCTGGGTCTACATTAGTCAGGCAGTAATCAGATTTCTGCTTTGCAACCAGAAAATAAACTCACAGAAGAAGACGTGACGTAAACCTAACGTAAAACTCAAACTTCATGCCGCAGCTTTTTTAAAAAACATTGAGCCACTTTTCCTGAAAATAGAAACATACATTATCTAGAAGATGAAGAATATTTATATCTTTCATTTTGTTGAGAATGTATTTGGTTTCAATGTCGCTCCAAAAGTGCTTTGCTGCCATTTCACAGCAACGCCGCTTGCTGATTTCTGGTCTGTTTCACACATGCGCACATTAAGAAATTTGAAAGAAATCAGAGTAAGAGTTTACATGCTGTGAGAAATCTGATTACTGAGCTAAAATCCAGCTCTCTTTATCGGATTTCTTAACTGGATTTCTAGACCTTACTCCGACCTATGAAATCGGAGTATGCTGTTTACATGACCATTTGAATATTCAGATAACTGCAGAAATCCGATCATTGATATTAAAGTGTATGTATGATTGTAAACACACTCACAGATTCAAAGTCTGACTTTTGCTAGAAAATAAAAGCATAAGCCATGGCTGTGTGTTGTGCAGTCTGAAATGCCCACACAGTCCTGATCAGTGAAGATTTTTAGGTTTTTACTCCTTTTGAAACACAAATAAACCAAATCTGACTTTGATAGATGTTCATTAAGTTACAGATGTTTAGGATGATTCATATTTTTGTAATATTTGCAATTGAGCTGCCAGCCGTTTTAAACAATGAATCATGAAATAGCACTGCACATAAAGCACTGCACATATTCTGAAGCTAAAGCTAAGACACATGTCCACATGTGTGTGTGTGTATGGACATGTATGCCTGTTTCAGATAAGCCAACAACCAAAGGGACATAAAGAACATATTAAACTTTGCAGATGGGGTCTACAGCCAGCCCTGAGGGTGAAACTACGCGCACAGAGACTTGCACAGTCAGTAGAAACTATTCACACTTCTAGTCGGCTGACAAAGACTCTCTTCATTACAGCTAAGGATGGGGATGAGAAGAGGAGGGAGACAGAAAAAGAAAGAGGAAGAGAGATAGAGCAAGAGAGACAGAGGAAGAATGTAAAGAGCAAGTGAATGAGAGAAAGTAGGAAAGAGTTCAGAGCTAATGAAGCTGGATTAACATTCCAGCTTTCTCTCAGTCAAACACACACAAACACACACACCGCCCTCGTTTCCCTTTCCCAAGATAATTAAGA